CATGATAAACCCCAATGCATACATTTCTTAATTTATACTGAGAAATTAGATTGCTAAGAGGTCTAGAATGTTAGCCTGGAAAGCCTTATGAATATGCTAGGAGAATAAGGTTGATTTGAATAAAGTTCAAAGGAGACTGAACACAGGATACTTAAAAATACTCTCTCTCCTGGACAGAACTGACACAACTCTGACATATTTTCATCCCTTTACTGTTCTTTTTCTAGATTGCAGACTCCTCTCTTTAGTTATGACATTATATTGGATGGGTCACAATGAACTTTACTAGATTATAGTTAATTACAGTTTTCATTCCCTTGGGGAAATTTAAAAAACACCACAAATGCATACCCAGCATATTTCCTAATCATCTCCAGGGGAGAGTTTTAAAAGCCTTTTATTATGGAAACTCTCACACATACATAAAGCTAGAGGGAGTGCCACGTACCCTGTACCTGTGACTCAGCTCCAACAGTTCAACAGTTATCAACATCCTGCTGGATTTGTTCTCTTTTGTCATCTGTCTTACCCTCCCTCACCACACACACACACACACACACACACACACACACACACACACACACAATTTTCCCCCAGAGTGTTTTAAAGCAAATCTCTAAATCTTATCTCTAAATTCAAGCAGGTGTTGGAGCCTGTTTGGAATGTACTCTATGAACTGAGAACAAATGTCCTAATCTTAAATCCCACCACACCAAGTCATTGGGAGGTTGAAATGAGATACAGGACATGAAAGGGCAGTAGTTCTGAAAATTGGGCTGCATATTAAATTCTCCAGGAGGGATTTCAAAACCAAATCCCCAAACATATTGACTCAAGTGTCTGGGGATGGAGCCCAGGCACCTGTGTATTTCAAAGGTATCCCAGGATATTTGTTGGGAGGCCAGTATTAAGAAGTCACCACCAGGAAGTAGCTGGCTAGTTAGTGTTAGAGCTGCTGTCTTCTACGATCCAGAGTCTGCTTGGAGAACTGGAGGTACAGAGTGGTAGGATCAGTCAGCTGTAACTATGGGGCTGAAGATGGACCTAATCCTAAGGCCCCATTGGATCCCTGAGGAGGGATGGATGGTCATACCTGGCCCGGGAAGGGCTGATGTTAGGCCCTGCTTTTGGTCTGGGCGTAGGGGTAAATCTGAATGCAACAGCAAGGTTTATAAGTGAAGGACGGGAGGGAAAGAGGAAAGGATGGCCTAAGAGTCTGCCTTGGAGCCTCTGTCACGGGTTGAGGGACATCTGGCTTGAAGGTGCTCCTGAGTGGAGGTACCTGTTAGGCTTTTTTTTTTTTTTCTATTTTTTTCTTTTTTTGAGACAGAGTCTCACTCTGTTGCCCTGGGTAGAGTGCAGTGGCATCATCATAGCTCACTGCAACCTCATACTGCTGGGCTCAAGGGATCCTCCTGCCTCAGCCTCCTGAGTAGCTGGGACTACAGGCATGCAATGCACCACTATACGCGGCTAATTTTTCTATTTTTTTGGTAGAGAGAGAGTCTCCCTCTTTCTCAGCTGGTCTTGAACTCCTGAGTTCAAGTGATCCTCCTGCCTTGGCCTCCCAGAGTGTTAGGATTACAGATGTGAGCCATTGTGCCTGGCCGTGTTTCGCTTTGAAGACAGGAAAGTGGAAGAATCACCTGGAACTTCTAGAATGCACAACTTACGTTGTATTTTTGAGGTCCTAGATCATAGGAGATGATTCCATGGAGAAAAACGGAACTACCAGGTAGTTGAAAGGATAGTAGGTCAAGACCTGACCCAGCTTTCAGAAAGCGCCTCTGTATGTGAGTAGGGCAGTGTTGTAGGGGCCTGACTCCTTGTTCTCTTTCCCTCCACCACCCCTCAACAACTTGACAGTGTTGAACTAGCTGCACCCTGTGCTTCTGGAAAGCAGCTATGGTAAAGAACTCCCCAGCTGGGCGTGGTGGCTCACGCCTGTAATCCTAGCACTCTGGGAAGCTGAGGCAGGAGTACTGCTTGAGCACAGGAGTTCGAGACCAGCCTGAGCAAGATGGAGACCCTATCTCTACTAAAAATAGAAAAATTACCCAGGCGTGGTGGCCTGTGCCTATAGTCTCAGTTACTCGTGAGGCTGGTATGTAGGCTGTAGTAGGATCTTCCTACTCGTGGTAGGAGGATCACTTGAGCCCAGGAGTTGGAGGGCCCCACTGCACTCTAACCAGGGTGACAGAATGAGACTGTCTCCAAAGGAAAAAAATAAAATCCATCCCCCTTTTGTGTTTTAAGAAATGGCTAATCTTAAAGGACTACCCTCCTCTACAATATTCTAAGATAAGACCTACTCTCACCCTTCCTTAGTGACTCAGATAAGACCCTCTCCATCCTTCCTCATGATGACTCCCTTGCTTACCTGCCTCTCTAAAACCCCAGGTCTCCTTCCTTTTCTCTGATACATTCCTCATTAATGAGCATCCTCCCTATTGCAACAGTCTGAACAAAATTACCTGATTTATTGTCCAGTGCATCTTGCCTTTCACACTGTTCTCCTTTATTCCCCTTTTCTTCATCTTAAAGAATTTTACAACGAGAGATTTGCTGATACTAATTATCAGAAATCCAGCTGACAGGTCACACAACACTGTGAATGTACTTAATGCCTCTGAACTGTATACAGATGGTCCTCAATTTATGATAATTTGACTTATGATTTTTCCACTTTACAATGGGGTTGGTTTATCAGGAGATAAACCTATGGTAAATTGAGGAGCATCTGTACTTAAAAATGGTTAACATGGTAAATTCTATTTTATGTGTATTTTACCACAATAAAACAATCCAGCTGACAGAGAAGTACAATGGAAATAACATTATTCAAAACAATTAAAACCCTTACTATGTGCTGGGTGATGAGTTGGTGGTGGGGAAGTAGGTGGGGCCTGGGGTAGGAAATGAGTAAGACCTACTTCCTGTGGCCCTAGAGCTCCCAGTCTTGCTGGGGAGACAAACCCTCTGTTAATTGAACTACATAATTCCTCGTGACACACATCATAATAGACATGTGTACAGCTTGATTTGAGTCAAATTGCAAAGGACCTTGAATGCTACACTAAGGAGTTTGGATTTTTTTTTTTTTTT